CAGGAGGGGGAAGGTATTGGGGTGAAGGAGGGGGCAGAGGTTGGGGTGCAGGAGGAGGGCAGGGGTTAGGAGCACAGGAGGGGGAAGGTATTGGGGTGAAGGAGGGGGCAGAGGTTGGGGTGCAGGAGGAGGGCAGGGGTTAGGAGCACAGGAGGGGGAAGGTATTGGGGTGAAGGAGGGGGCAGAGGTTGGGGTACAGGAGGGATGCAGGGGTTAGGGGCTCAGGAGGGTGCAGGTGTTGCGGTGCAGGAGGGGGCAGAGAATGGGGTGCAGGGATTAGGGGTGCAGGAGGGGGAACAGGCATTAGGGGCAAACGGGCACAGTGCAGGGGTTGGGGGGAAGGGAGGGTGGGGAGCCTGGGGAGCCCATGGGGGCCAGGGGCAATGGAGGGTGCCACGCACATGGGGGCCGGGGCACCAAAATGCAAGTTCGCCCAGGGTGCCATTTTCCCTAAAGCCAGCCCTGGTCACATGGTTTGGAACCACAAAGCACATGTTGGACCAACTATTGAGGAGCAGAAGGGCCAGACCGTGCAGGGCCCAGGAATTGTGGGATAGCTTTGGTGGACTATCCAAACACAAGCCTGGCTAGAAGAGCCTCAGCGAAGTGGGCAGGCGTGACACTACAGCGGACCGTGGGCTCAGACCTCTACCCTGGGACGAGCCAGTCAGCGCGTGTTGTGAGGGGTGTGGGTGCATGTCAAAGGGCTTTGTGGGTGTTAGGGCAGGGCGTAGACATGTGTCAGAGCCCGTGTCCGTACTACAGTGTAGACATACTCTAGCTGCACCAGTCGGACAGCCTGCATAAACGTTTTCTACCTGGCAGATGTCTGGCTGTTTGTAGTGGAAATGAGGCCTTTTGACCTTTCTCTTGTTTCTCTCTCCCCAGATTCCACGTGATAGTGGATGTGATCAAACCAGAAAAGCTGGACATCACCACCATGCTGAAGGGGCTGGACTACATGGAAGTGCCTGCCTCCTCCAAGAAGGACTATAAGCTCACCTTCTTCTCCTACAAGGAAGGGCTATTCAGTGCCAAGGTAGACCCACTCCCAGGCCCTGTGGCTCTGCAAAGAAAGGGTTGTTTGCTGGTTGTGTGTGGGGATGAGGGTGGGTGTCTCTAGGATTTTAAACCAAAATATTGAAACTTTTGGGTGCCCAGAATGAGGTGACTGCTCTGGTAGTTAGACATCTACAGTAAAGCTCCCCTGGAAGCTGAGCAGGGCACCTGTTCTCTGCCAGGTGTGTGTAGGAGGCAGGTGGGAAGAGTCCAAGATGAGTTCATTTCTCCTGTGACCGGAACCAGCCCCCGGTCCAGAGGGAGCTCCCAGCTCCCCTAGGTCTGACTGTTACCACTTTTGTACTTGATTTCAGGTGACCTTTCGCAATGAGGTGACACAGGAGTACGTGTTCTACCTGGTCACATTCAAGGCCATCCCTTCCGGTCCGGTCAGCACCATCGAGATGGTTACCCCTGTTCGGCAGAGCACGTCCTCCTCCATCAAGGTGGAGAACCCCCTCGTCTTCCCGGTGACGTTCATTACAGACTGCAAAGTGCCCGATGTCAACCTCCCGCCGCAGTTCATTGTGCCCGCCCAGTCCGAGGTAGGACAAAGCCTTGCACAGCAAACCTGCTTCCCCCGCTCTCCTCCCTCTGCAGTAGCGCAATTGCTGTGACCTTCTAGAATGTCAACAGCCCAAGTGCTCGTAGGCGTCAACTTTCTCCGGCACCGATGGGTGCCCGTGCCCCCTTGCCCCTGGCCCTGCCCTTGGCCCTGCCCTGACTCCACCCCATCCCTGCCCCCATTCCAACCCCATCCCCAAAGTCCCTGCCCTAACTCC